GGGATTCCTTCCCCCTCCCTTTTCCCTCCCTTTTCCCGCCCCCATTCCCGCTTTTCCCTGTTTTCCAGAGGCCATCAACTGCCTGCTCCGGGCCATCGAGATCTACACGGACATGGTGAGATTCCCACGGAATTCCCGCCGGGAATTCCCGCCCCGGGGGGCGGGCGGAGACGCAAACCCCCCAGGGGTTGGGAATCCTTGGGAATTCCCTCCCAGAATTGGGAATTTGGGGGTCCTGGGGTGGTTCCCGGGGTTGGATCCGGTGGCTCCGGGTGGGACGGATCCCCTGGGATGGGATTTTCCGGCGGGATGATCCCGGTTTTCCGGCAGGGCCGTTTCACCATCGCCGCCAAACACCACGTGGCCATCGCCGAGATCTACGAGGGAGACCTCGTCGACGTCGACAAGGTGGGGGGAAACACCCGGAATTCCGGGAATTTCGGGAATTCTGGGAACCCCCCAGCTCCTGAATCCCAGTTTGGGGTTTTGCCTGATGGGAATTCCAAATCCCGGGATTTGTGCTTCTCTGGGAGAGAAATGGGGTTGGTTTTGAGGGAACTTGGGTTTGGGAGAGAGGAGGAATTCCCCGGGACTTCTAGGGAATTTCCTGGGAATTCCAGGAATTCTGGGAACCCCCCCAGCTCCTGAATCTCAGTTTGGGGTTTGTCCCCGTTGGAATTGCCCCAAATCCCGGGATTTTTGTTTTCCTGGGGGGAGAAACGGGGTCGGTTTTGAGGGAACTTGGGTTTGGGAGAGAGGAAGAATTCCTGGGAATTCTGGGAATTTCCAGGGAATTTCCTGGGAATTCTGGGAATTCACCCCCTAAATCCCAGTTTGGGGTTTTGTTTCCAATGGGAATTGCCCCCAAATCCCGGGATTTTTGCTTCCTCTGGGGGGAGAAACGGGGTTGGTTTTTAAGGGAAGTGGGGTTTGGGAGAGAGGGAGATTCCTGGGAATTCCAGGAATTCTGGGAACCCCCCAGCTCCTGAATCCCAGTTTGGGGTTTTGCCTGATGGGAATTGTCCCCAAATCCTGGGATTTGTGCTTCTCTGGGAGAGAAATGGGGTTGGTTTTGAGGGAACTTGGGTTTGGGAGAGAGGAGGAATTCCCAGGGAATTCTAGGGAATTTCCTGGGAATTCCAGGAATTCTGAGAACCCCCCCAGCTCCTGAATCCCAGTTTGGGGTTTGTCCCCATTGGAATTGCCCCAAATCCCGGGATTTTGGCTTCCTCTGGGGGAGAAATGGGGTTGGTTTTGAGGGAAGTGGGGTTTGGGAGAGAGGGGGAATTCCTGGGAATTCCAGGGAACTTCCTGGGAATTCCAGGAATTCTGGGAATTCACCCCCCAAGTCCCAGTTTGGGGTTTTTTTCCAATGGGAATTGCCCCAAAATTCCCAGGATTTTTGCTTTCCTGGGGAAGATAAACAGGGTTGGTTTTGAGGGAAGTTGGTTTTCCAGGAATTCTGTCTCCCCCATCCCAAAATTAGGGTGGAAAATGGGGAATTTTGGGAGGTTTTCTGGGAATTTTGCCTCTCCCATTCCCAAATCCTGGTGGAAAAGGGGGAATTTTGGGTGATTTTCCAGGAATTCCCTCTCCCCCATCCTGAAATTCCGGGCAGAAAAGGGGGAATTTGGGGGGTTTTGTGGGAATTCCTCCCCCAAATCCTGGTGGAAAAGGGGGAATTTTGGGTGGTTTTCCCGGAATTCTGCCTCCCCCATCCCGAAATTTGGGCAGGAAAGGAGAATTTTGGGTGTTTTTCCAGGAATTCCTCCCCCAAACCCCCAAATCCTGGTGGAAAAAGGGGAATTTGGGGTGATTTTCCGGGAATTCCGCCTCCCCCCTCCCGAAATTCCGGAGCAGATGGAGCAGCCGGAGCGGGGGCGTCGGAGCCGCGGGAATCCGGGAATGAGCCAGGAATGGAGGGGGGGGGGAGGGGAGGGAGCAGAAAATTCCGGAGGGTTTTGGGAATTTATTTGTTTCTGGATTCGTTCACTGGGTTTATCCGGGAATTTTCTCCCGTTTTTTCCCATTTTTATCCCGTTTTAGTTCGATTTTGGGATGAATTTCACGGATTTTTCCGGGTTTATCCAGGTTTCATCTGATTTTATCCAGGTTTTATCCAAGTTTTATCAGGTTTTATCCAGGTTTTATCCCGATTTTATCTGGTTTTAGACAGTTTTATCCAAGTTTATCCAAGTTTTATCCAAGTTTTATCCTAGTTTATCCAGGTTTTATCCAGGTTTCATCCCATTTTATCCAGGTTTTATCCAGGTTTATCCAGGTTTTCTGGGGTTTTATCCAGGTTTTATTTGGTTTTATCCAGGTTTTATCTGGTTTTATCCAGGCTTTATCCCATTTTATTCAGGTTTTATAGGGTTCTATCTAAGTTTTATGGGGTTTTATCCAAGTTTTATCCGGTTTTATCCAGGTTTTATCTGGTTTTATTCAAGTTTTATGGGATTTTGTCCAAGTTTTATGGGGTTTTATCCAAGTTTTATGGGGATTTATCCTGGTTTTATCAGGTTTTATCCAGGTTTTATAGGGTTTTATCTAAGTTTTATGGGGTTTTATCCAGGTTTTATGGGGTTTTATCCAAGTTTTATGGGGTTTTATCCAGATTTTATCATGTTTTATCAGGTTTTATCCAAGTTTTATCCTGTTTTATTCAGGTTTTATAGGGTTTTATGTAGGTTTTATGGGGGTTTATTCAGGTTTTATCTGGTTTTATCCAGGTTTTATCTGGTTTTATTCAAGTTTTATGGGGATTTATCCTGATTTTATGAGGTTTTATCCAGGTTTTATCCAAGTTTTATGGGGTTTTATCCTGATTTTGTCAGGTTTTATCCAAGTTTTATCCTGTTTTATTCAGGTTTTATCCAGGTTTTATCCTGATTTTATCAGGTTTTATCCAGGTTTTATCCTGTTTTATCCAGGTTTTATGGGGGTTTGTCCAGGTTTTATGTGGTTTTATCCAGGTTTTATGGGATTTTATCCAGTTTTTTTCCGGTTTTATGTGGTTTTCTCCAGGTTTTGTGTCCCTTGATCCCATTTTCCAAGGTTTTGATCCCGTTTTTCCCTGTTTTCCCCCCCAGGCCATCGCCCACTACGAGCAGGCGGCCGATTATTACAAAGGGGAGGAATCCAACAGGTACCAAATCCCGGGAATCCTGAATCCCGGGAACCCCCAAATCCCGGGAATTCCCAAATCCCAGGAGCCCCAAATCCCGGGAATTCTGAATCCTGGGAACCCCCCAAATCCCGGGAATTCCTCAATCCCCAAATATCCAAATCTCAGGAACCCGAATCCCCAAATCCTGAATCCTGGGAACCCCCCAAATCCCGGGAATTCCCAAATCCCCAAATCCCAGGAGCCCCAAATCCCGGGAACCCCGAATTCCAGGGGCCCCAAATCCCGGGAATTCCTGAATCCCAGGAACCCAAATCCCCAAATCCTGGGAATCTGAATTCCCAAATCCCCAGTGCTGGAAATTCAGTGGATTTTGGTGGGATTTGGGTGGATTTGGGGTGATTTTGGGGGGTTTTTGGGGTTATTTGATGTAGGTTTTTGATGGATTTTGGGTGGATTTGGGTGGGTTTGTGGGCCTGGGGTGTTTTCAGGGTGATTTGGGGTGATTTTGGGGTGATTTCGGGGTTTTTTTGGGGTGATTTTGGGTGATTTGTGTCCCAGCTCAACCAATAAGTGCCTGCTGAAGGTGGCCACGTTCTGGGGTGTTTTTGGGTGATTTCGGGTGATTTTGGGGTTTTTTTGGGGTGATTTTGGGTGATTTTTGTCCCAGCTCAGCCAATAAGTGCCTGCTGAAGGTGGCCACGTTCTGAGGTGGTTTTGGGGTGTTTTTGGGGTGATTTTGGGGTGATTTTGGACTGTTTGTGTCCCAGCTCAGCCAATAAGTGCCTGCTGAAGGTGGCCACGTTCGCGGCGCAGCTCGAGCAGTTCCCCCGAGCCATCGACATCTACGAGCAGGTCCTGCCCTTCCTCACCCTCCTCCCCCTCCTTTTCCTCCTCCTCTTCCTCCTCCTCTTCCTTTTCTTCTTCCTTTTCTTTCTTTTCCTCCCCATCCTTCTGCTTTTCCCCTTTTCCTCCTCAGCTCCTTTCCTTTTCCTCCCCTGTGATTTCTTCCTCCTCGTTCTCTTTCTCCTCCTCCTCTTCCTCCTCTTTCTCCTCTTCCTTCTCTTTTTCCTCCTCTTCCTCACCTTCTTTTCCTTTTAATTTCTTCTTCCTTTTCCATCCTCCTCTTCCTCCTCCTCCTTGCTCATCCTTCAGCTTTTCCCCATTTCCTTCTCTTCCTCACCTTCTTTTTTTGTTTTCCTTCTAATTTCTTCTTCCTCCTCTTCCTCTTCTTGTTCCTTTTCCATTCTCCTCTTCCTCCTTCTCTTTTTCCTCCTCTTCTTCCTCTTTCTCCTTGTCTTCCTCCCCGTCCTTCAGCTTTTCCCAATTTCCTCTTCAGCTCCTTTTCCTTCTCTTCTTTCTGATTTCTCCCTCCTCCTCTTCCTCCTCTTCCTCCTCTTCCTCCTCTTCCTCCTCTTCCTCCTCTTCCTCTTCCTTTTCCTCCTCTTTCTGTCTTTCCTCCTCTTCCTCCTCCTTTTTCTTCTCCTCCTTTTTTGCTCTTTTTCTTTCTTTTCCTTCTGATTTCTTCTCCCTCCTCTTTCTCTTTGTCCTTTTCCATGGCCCCCAATCTGCTGAATCCCGGTTTTTCTGGGCTTTTCCCTGTTTTCCAGGTGGGTTCCATGGCCATGGACAGCCCCCATTCCCTGGCAATGCCCTGAATCCCGGTTTTTCCGGGTTTTTCCCTGTTTTCCAGGTGGGTTCCATGGCCAT